GTGCAAGGCACCACTGAACCGCTGAGCTAAATCCCCGGCCCCTAGTAAGACTTTTAAGAACAGCTGGTCATAGGGGTGCACACCTGTAGTCCTAGTGCTCCAGAGGCTGAGGTGAGGATTGGTATGAGTTCAAGGCCAGCCTGAACTACATAGTGAGACCCTGTCTCAAAAAACAAAACAAGGGGCCAGGGATTTAGCTCAGCGGTTCAGTGGCCTGCCTTGCAAGCGCAAGGACCTGAGTTCAATCCCCGGTACCAAAAAAAAAAAAAAAAAAACAAAACAAAACAAAAAGGAGTGTCCGGCTCTGATCATAGAGAATTAAGAAGTAGTTTTGACAGATTATCCCTGAGATTTTCCATTTTTATGACTTTTATACATTTTGAAAAATTGCTGTCATTTACTGAGAGCTTTCCTTATGACAGGCACACTTAAAAATTTTCATCATTGCCAGGCGTGATGGCGCATGCTTGTAATCCCAGCACTCAGGAGGCTGAGGCAGGAGGATCGCTTTGAGTTCGAGACCAGCCTGGGCTACATAGTGAGTTCCAGGTCAGTCTCAACTACATAGTGAGACCCTGTCTCAAAAAAAAAAATTTTTTTTTTCATCATTAAAACCCTATGCGTGGGGCTGGGGATCTAGCTCAGTGACACCACACCTGCCTCGCAAGCGCAAGGTCCTGAGTTCAATCCCTGGTACCACAAAAAAACAACAAAACAAAATAAAAAATCCTATGACAAAAATATAAACCTATGATGGTGGTGAACCTATGGCACATGTGCCACAGTGGGCATGCAGAGCCCTGTATGTTGGCATGCGAGCCAAATTGCCCCAGCAGTGAGCATCAGAGCATCAGATATTCGGTTTAATTGTAGTGTTGCACTTTACAATAAATAAGTGTTTTGGGTTGCAGTTTGGGCATTCGGTCTCTAAAAGGTTCTCTTATCACTGCCCTATGAAAAGCTGGGCATGGTGGCACTTATCTATAATCCCAGCACTCAGGCAGCTGAGGCAGGAAGGTTGCAAGTTCAAGGCCTGCCTTGGCAACTTAGCGAGACCCTGTCTTAAAAAAAAAAAAGAGCAGGCAGATAGCTCAGAAGTAGGGCACTTGTCTAGCATGTGTGAGACCTTGGGTTTAATCCCTAGCACTGCAAAAAGATAAAAGCTACAAGGTCCATAGTGTTATTCCCATTTTATGGGTGAAGAAAGTCTTTCAGAAGTAGAGCATTTGTGTAAGGTCACATTGCAGGTAAGAAACAAGTGAGTGCACTTATTGTTGACTGAAGAGTCCAGTGCTCTTGACTACAATCGTATGCTGCCTCTTTCCTAGCTTCTTGAAAACCTGCTTTGTATCTGCCTCCCAGAATACATGCGGTGTTAGTGACGTGGCTTTATCAGTTTGGTCCTAGGGTGAAAGCAGTTAGTTGGTACCTGCATGCAGTGGATCCTGGCATCTGATCTATGAAGAGCTAGTTTCCACTGTACATCATTCTGCTGTGGAGTGCTTTGAACTTATTTTGAAGTGTTAGGAATTGAACCCAGGTTTCAAGGCCTCACACATGCTAGGCAAGTAGAATACATCTGCGGCCCTGAAATTTTTTACAAAAGAGAATATGTGTGTGTGTCTTAATGTGTACACATCTGTAGCTTTTCAAATATTACTTCAAATTCATAATTCATTGCCTTTTTCAGTCATTTTCTAATTGTGGCTTTTTTCCCCCTGATTTTATCCATTAGGGTGTACTGAATAGTGAGATAATGGCAAGCACTGAACTTTTATTGTTATAACTTTCTACAGATAGTCTCCGATGGGTTTCTTTTTTTTTCTACCTTATGGTGGTACAAAAGTATATCCATACAGCATTCTATTTTTTACTTTGGGTTTCACATTCAGTAAACTGTGTGAGCTGGTCATGGTGGCATACCCCTGAATGTAATCCTAGCGCTTGGGAGGTTGAGATGGGGATTGTGAGTTTGAGGCCTACCTGGGATTTGTAGTGAGATCAAGGCAGCCTGAAAAACAAGAGCAAAACCAAATAAAACAATAATTCGTTAGTCAACATTTCATTATAACATAGGCTTTGTGTTAGATGATTTTTCCCAACTGTAGGCTGATGCAGGTGTTCTGAGGACATTTAAGGTAGGCTAGGCCAAGCTGTGTAGGCCATGCATATCAAATACATCTTTGGTTTACAATATTTTCAATTTATGATGAGTTTATTCAGACATTGTTAATCAAAAAACACCTGTAGTAGTATTTCTTTTATTATTGTTTTTTCCTGTATTCAAGGTTGGGCTTCGGGCTTCACCCATGCTAGGCAAACACTCTACCTCTGAGTTGCATCCTTGCAGAGTAGTACAGACTGGTCTAAAATTTGGCAATCCTCCTGCCTCAGCCTCATGAGTAGCTGGGATTACAGGCATGCACCACCTGGCTATAGTAATATTTCCTTTATAATTTAAGAGAATTCCTATTCCATTGGGCTAGGATATAGTGAGTGGTAGAGTGCTTGCCTAGTGTGTGTGAGGCCCTGGGTTGATCCCTGTCTCAGCAGAAAAAAAAAAAAAAAAAAAAAAAGGGTTTGAG